CACTGCCCAGATCCCAGTGGCAGTGTGACTGAGAAAATTTGAGGAAAAAAACCCAACAACCAAACATAAATACTGTATTTTTACCAGTCCCCTCCTACCTCAGCTGACCTCCACTCACCCAGACGTGGGGGTAGCAGTAATGCTTTGTGAGATGTCAGCTTTCCATGTGTTCTGCAGCTTATCAAAATCCTGCATCAACTCACTGCTTGATGTTGGGCTGCAGAGATGCCACAGACAGGCTGCCATGGAAACATTTGTTTTAATTTACTGGTGGTCTGCACAATAAGAAAGTCTGAGCGGTACAGGAATGACGAAAGAGTATAAATTACCAATGGGCTCAGACAGCTGAGCCTACCAAAAAGAAATCTCATTATTTTACCATTTTACCATTTAGACAGATTATGTTACAGATTTCTGATCTCACTTTGTGAATAATAACATGTACATGTTCAGAGCAGAAACAAATACAAATTCCAACTTGTTTTAGGAAGACACTTTAAATTAGGCTATGTGTAATGGAGAGCATAACAGCTGGTTCCACTTGCATCTTTTAATTAAAATGCAGCAGTCTAGATAACAGAAAATTAAAATGGGGCAGAGTGGAACAAGGAGGGAAATAAATCCCAGAAAAAGCATAACTGTATCCCTACTTAAAGCTGATGAAACCCAGAAATAAGTTACTTTGCTTGTTTTTTTGTATCTTAGAAAAAACTTGAACTAGTCTGTTCATTGTCTTTTCTAAGGTTTTAGCAGTCTTTGATCTTGCTTTATCTTTGGTTCTTCAAACAAAAAAATGCAAAGCACAGGTCTAGCTTGCTTAACACAGAAGTCTTCAGCTAAATTTTTGCAGTGCAGCTTTGACCACAGCTATGGCCTCTTTGACAGTCGACATTTCTGAGCCTGATGCTGGCTGAGAGAGGACAGTGAAGAGGCCAAGGAGAACCACTTGGAGCAGGGGTGGACATTTAGGTGGATACCACCACTCAGTATTCCTCTGAGCAGACTGTGTCAACTCAGCAACTGAGTTGCAACTGGAGCAACTGAGTGCTCCAGCTTGCTCACAACACTGGAGAAACACACAGCCACCCTGAGGCTGTTCTTCTTTAACAGAGTACTGGGGAAATGTCTGTGTACAGCAAATATCTTCTCCAGAAGCCAACAGCCTTCCCTAGGAAAGGGAGGCACCATTAGGTGGTCATCCCACCTCTAAAAGGAAACCCCTCTCTGAAATAAGGCTGCCACTACCACCTGAAGGCTTCTGGACAAGAACAGCAGGAAGGGTAGAGATGGCAGCACTGGTGGTTTATGGTTTTGGAGGAGGATGAATGAACAGGTTTGGGTTACTTACTTAACCTGGTTTTGGCTTGTAATGTCTTACTGCATGAAAGACTTTCTGGGTCAGGACAGATAGAGCACACAGGCAGTAACACTGCAGAGCCTCAAGGGAAGGATTTTACCTGGCATTTGCTTAAGATCCTTTCACTGAATGGATACCACATTAGACGAACCCCTGTTAACCTCAGCTTTTAAGTTAGTTCCTCTGCATTTTCCCTTTAGATACATCTCATACAATATGAAAACTCCCAGTGTCACGAATGCAAAGCACTAAATGCAAGAGAGACTGAAAGATACAGCAGAAAGCAGCAAAGAGGCTCAGAATTAAATATGGAACAATAAAGAGGAGCTTCTGAAACAAAGAACACCAAGAGGATAATGGATTAACCAAACCCGCCTCAGAAGCGTTTCAATCTGAGAGTATGTGCCACGTCGGCTGCCAGGTCATTAACTGGATGAACACATAATTGATAAGCTGCAGGCTGCACTCTACTGGAGAGCAATAAGCTCCTTTAAATTACATTAATATTTAACATATATAAAAAGCATTTGTCATTTGCAAACCGCTCTGTAGAGTAACTGATGGATTCTATAATGATCCCCAACTCCCAGACAAGGGAATGCAGTTCTGGAGAGATAAATACCTGGCCTGCATCCAAACCAAGATTCACTGACAGCTATAATTCTAGTTCAAAATTAGGTTTCTAAATTTCTGGTCCTTCTAGATTACATTGCTTTGCAGCCTTCAGTAGATAGAAGCATGATACACACAGAGCTGAAAGACAGGAGCTGACAACATAGGATGACATTTCTGACTCACAATCACCAACTGTCACATTCCTACCCTGGGTCACTGTCCACTCCAAAAGATGCAGCTGAGTGGGTTGAACACAAGGAATGGAAGTATTAAATATCTGATTGCCATGTGTTGTCTGCCCCTCTCACCTTTCTTTTAAAGAATTAATCTTGGGGAATTTACTGACCTCCATAACTTGTTGGGTGTCTCAGTATACTTCATATATCTATCTATCTATATATAGAGAGATGTGCATGTATAGGGTTTTTTTCCCCATTTAAGTTGATACAGTGAGTTCACTTGTGGGTGAGCCTTCAAATATGACAGCATTTTTCTGAAACATGACAGATTTATTTTTCATGCTGCAGCACTGAGTTTCTGTGAAACAGCCACAAAACTTTGTTATTATCCAAAATTCTTGTAGGAGAACTTTACCTTCAGCCTCCTACATGATTTCCTGAGATGTCTGCTGAGACAGACCCTCAGTTTCTCTGCCCTACTAACTCCCTTTGTATATACTTTTTTCTCCTCAGGAGAAAAAGCACAGTGAAAGTCACAGAATTTCTCTTGGCTGGACTCAGCATCCTTTTGCTGTAGCTAAACTTTATGCACATGGAAAGTAGACTCCCCTGGGGATCTACAAAGTGTTCTGATGGGCTGGAGTGGGCTGCACCAGAGAGGTACCCGCAGTTGCATCCTCCATACACACAACATACTGACAATACCACCTAGGAAGGATGCAAAGTCTGAATTGCCCATTTAAGGCAAGTAAATGCATAGGTCACTCCAGTTGCACTTGTTCCCTGAAATATTTGTTCCTTCTAACTAACTTCTGTTTCAACAGTCTGCTCATCATTATAGCCTTACAGCTTTGTCATTTGAGGATTCATCCTTTTAGGAGCTATATTCTCATCAATATTACATTCTGCCTAGGCAGCCTGATCATCTTAGAAGCAGATAAAATGATTACTGATGACAGTCAATACAACTTCAAAATATTTCAGCAATATAAGTAGAAAAATGCATACAAAATTTATACTGGACATTATTCAAGAGCTATTCAGAACTTGCAGAGCAGAGAAATTTCACAAGCAATAAAACATGATGGCTTGCATATGCTAACATTTTGACACTTCAACTCTAACAGAGTTCAAGTTTAGTGGAAGAGTGCAACTTCCTATCAGAAATTATTATTCACGTTTTTTGCATAAGTGGAAACCTGACATAACAAATCTCTCTTTCTGCACCATCTTAGATTCCAATAAAGCTCAGCCTGCTACAAGATTTCGATAGAAATCCTATTTGGTAAAATTTGCTTGATTGTATTCCAAAAAGTGACTCACATTTTACAAGCCAGTGGCAAGAGCTGAAACAAGTTTGACTCTTTACATCAAAGCCAGTATGAGTCATTCTTCCAGCTTAATGGCTCACATGCTATCCTTGAGAGACCAAACTGAGACTGCAGGTCAAGAAATGACCATTTAATAGTCACAAGGTATGTGGCCAAACAGCTAGTCCTAGACTGAAGGAAATGACAGAGAACTCAACCAGTGAAATTAAAAGATATTCAACAGCATGGACTGCCAAGTTGTTGTAAGAGTAGTAAAATACCAGCTTCTGTTCGCAACTCACTCATACCATAGCAAAATGTGGCCCAAACTGCAAAGTCAGGGTTAAATAAAAACCAATAAGGCTTTTCCTCACATGCCATCTTCCAAAGCACTTAAAAGGAGAGCAGCTGACAGACATGAGGGCCAAGCACAACCTGATTGTAAAGATGTCGTGATTTGGCTCCCAGTCGGTACTTTTTCCTCCACGCTCTCTCCTTCTCCATGCTCCTTCGGATTCCCCTTTCAAGACTGAAGACTATTTAATCTCTGCCTTTATACTCTCCTGTTCTCCCCAGGTGACTTTTCTTTTCCATGGCACTCTGAGGTTACCCAAAGAAGGGCTGGCTTTGCCAAGCCCTCCAACACACATCCTTCCTCTACTGTCTGCTGCTCAGCCAGGGATCAGCCCTTCCTTGCATGCATGACCTCCTGACCCGAAGCAGGTTCAGGACAGGCTAGTCCACTGTCCAAAAATCATCTTGTTGACAACAACTGAATGGAGAAATGGGTCAACTCTGAAATGCTGAATTTTGTCATGCTTACTCTGAGGCAATCAATGTGCTCACTTTCTGCTTTTCTGGGACCTTCTGGAGTTCAAGGCAAGGTATCCTCTTAGCATGGGTCAGCCCCCTGGCACAGACTGGCACCTAAGTAAGAGCACACTTGTCCCAAAAGTAGGCTCCTGTCAGAGTTTCAGCAGGGAAAGCAAGTTTCCTTACAGAAAAATCACAGCATCTTTCTGCCAGTAACTTTCAGACACAGTTATGATTCACAGACATGGATAAGCACACAAAACTCTCCACTCCCACTGTTATTTGCTCCTGAAATTTCCCCCACTTAACCAGGACATCTCTCATGCCCTTACTCATCTCACAATAGTCAGAATTACTGCATGGACAATGACTCAATGTAAGTCTCAACTCAGCAGAGTACCGAGGAAAAGAAAAGCCCGATGGGATCAAAATCCTTCTTTGTTTATGGGCTTTGTTGCCCATAATTTGTTTTCTGCATTATGATGTGGCATGTGCCATCAAAAAATTAATCCAAAGTCTCTGGCTGTTTCAGGGAGTGCTCAGAATGCCTCACCTAGCTCAAATCTGTGCACCTTCTTCAATGTCCAGAAAAAACAACGAAAGCATCTCTGAGCTTGGCACTGGCAAAATATCAGGACATTCATCCTTTTGCTTAAATTAGAAATATAATTTCCACTATTTACTTCTGGACAGTTGAAAAAAAAAAGAAGACAAAAAGCCATTTACCTCTACTTCACACGCATATTCCGATCCATCCAGGAGTGTCACTTTGCATTGCATATTTTTCGGTTTCTTGACAATCTTTAGAGGAGACTTGGAGAGTTTGCTAGATGAAGATTTTTGAGAAAGCTTGTCTTCCTCTAGCTGCTGATATTCCAGCTGTTTTGCACTTGTAGCTGCAAACTCCTGTTCTTTCTCTGTGACCTATAGAGAGAAAGATAGATATTTTTTGAAGTGAGATAAACCAATCATGCCATGCAGTACACTGTGCACCCTTCACCCAAGCATTTAATTGAGCCTTGTGTGGGGCTTGGACAAGAAAGCCCCTGATGTAGGACAATCTTTATTGGAAAGATTTCCCATGTTCCTCCCAGTTATTATTTTAAAGTCCCATACCTATTAAATCATCTGATGCTTCCATGGTGCCATACGGAATAGAAAAATACCATCAGGTTTGCACTAATTTTGCTGTCAGTGAGAAATCAGTCCCTGAATGAGGGCACGGTTGCCCCCCTAACAGTGTGAATTCACAGGGGGATGCTGACATGCCTGGGAGAGCAAAAGGCTACCCAAGCACCCGAGGAAAGGGTTAAACAAATAGGATGGAAGTGAGGGACCAAACAACTTTTATGTGCAGCCAGCTGACTAATGGATGATAAGTACAGAATGAGATGCTGAATTCTGCTCTCTGAAGATGCCCTGTAAGTCCCTCCGGCTGACAAGAAAGGTGCTATTTGAAAGACAAATATACTGCAGGGAAAAGGGGCACGAAGAAACAACCATGGTCACTTTTGTTTGGGTTTATCTGAGAATAAAGCCATTTGAAGAGTTACCGTGATACAGTGCAGCACATGGTTCTCTCCACGGCACTAGATGAAAGCCAGAGCAGCTCTACAGCATTTCACCCTTCCTAGCAACAGCACTGTGCTGCAGTCATTACCCTTCTCATCAGTTATGTCCTGATAGATTCCAAACAAAACCTCAAAAGGAGTGCAGTAATACTTAAGCTAAAGCTTAAATAAAATAAAAAAGTCTTTCTGTTATCTCACTACAAGGCAAAAAAAAAAAACACACCCTGCTTTAGCTCTGAATTATTTTAGTATAATAAGCAACAAGCATTACTGGAAATATATTGTAAATTAACCCTCCAAGTCTGTTTCCATTCATTGAATATAACAGACTTCATGACAATGGAGCAAATCCATCTAAAGGCTTTAGTCTGCATTGAGACCAGAACAACCTTGCATCATATAACCAGAAACAACAGTGTACTGCTAAATCACAGTGAACTGTCCCTGAGTGATTTCATAAAAACAAGCCATAAGCTTCCCCTCTGCCTTCGGGTGAATGGGGAGAAGGGGAATTTGGAGCTGGCTGGCTGTGATACCAAAGGTGCCAGCTCCCACCAAAGCCCCAGCAAATTACAAGGAGGTGAGGCAAGACCCTCTGAGGTCCTACTTTCTCTGCAACAGAAGACATGGCAATGGTCTCCTGCACTTCCTAGGTGGGGAGGCTAGAAGAAAATGGAACTAGAAAGATAAAAAAGCAAGAGCTGGTTTCAAAATCCACCACATCTCCCAAGCCATGGATTTTCTTCCCCAGGAGCAGACCAGCACCTGCCATCTCTTCTCCCATCTAGCTCCAGCACTAAAGGACTTTCTCCTTCCAGTACTTGGACATCAGTTTTGACATCTGGATGTCAAGGTCCTAACATACCTTGAAGACTGTCAGGAGATGAAGGCACAAAGAATGTCAGTGGATTAGCTGTTTGCTGAGCATTAAAGAGACAGAGTCCCCCTGGGCTCACAGCAAGGCTTGAGGCCAGCTAATCTTCTACCACCTCCACAACCAGCTGGCAAGCGGTCCAGGCTGGTGCACTGAGATATAAAAACGACTGAAGATGCCTCCTCCTAGGGCCTCTGTGCAGAGCTGCACTGCTGCTGATGGGCAGAGGGACTCTGATGATTTCTGTACATTTGGTTAAAAGAAATCTGCCAGGGAAGCTGCATGTGCTTATATGTGGGTGCAGAAGTCATTCTGGGGATGAAAAAAAAAGCAGCACTGTCATACACAGTGGCTCATGACATTTCTGATGTGAGAGTTAGTACTCCACTCCACCAAAAAAAAAAAAAACACCAACGAAATAACCCAGACACATGGAACTAGCTAATATTTTACAAGAAAACAGAAAAGCTGCTTGAGAGAAAAGCCCACAACAACAAAGGTGCCCATCGCCCATTTAAACTTGAGAACTATATTTGGCCTGCAAGTCATTTCTGGGAATCTTAATGGACTAGTAGTTATTTTCCTTCATAAAGACAGTTGGTAACTTAAGACTACAGCAGAGTTTTGTTTATTTATAAATATTTAAAAATATTACTGAGGTTATTTTGTTTGTTAAAGTTCCCTTTTACATTAAGATCAGGGGAATGTGACTAGGTTAAAATCATACAGAAGATTTTCTCTCATTTGTCTGGAGAAAAAAACATGCCAAGAACTATTAGAGAAGATTACCCCAAACTATGCTGACATGTTCAGGCATTGAGGTACTTTCAGACTGTATTAAGACCCTTCTTCCTAAAGAAACCTGACATTCTGGAATCTAGGAAAAAAAGATAGCCAGTGAAAAATCCATGTACACGGTGAATCATTTTGAACTCTGCAAGTGTAGCTCCATTTTCTTCTAAATTCTTCTCCAAGATACTTTTGTACCATATTTTTGCAGTATTTTTGGTGTTATTGACTAAATTCTAGTGCAGCAGAAGTTGCTTCAGGGTTTGCATTTTTTGAGCATAACCTCTTTCATCTATGACACAGTATGTTCAATCCCTTCTGAAGCTGCACCTCCTCTCAAAGGAAGCCTTTGGAGTCTCGGGATTCAGCAGTAATGATCTTGGCTACTTCGCAGCTTCTCATTGGGGTATGAAGTGATATTACCACGCTTGCACAACACATTAATCCCATCTACTTATGGTAGTTGCTTGGAAATATTGATGCCCAACCCATGTGATGCCACCTTCTCTTTTTCAAAGAGACAGGAAGGCAGGCGTATAGCTAGGCTGCATTATTACACCTGATAGGAAGGACTTATTTCTCTAATAACTATTAATCTCAATATGGAAAGGTTCTTCCTCTTCATTAAAATGTTTTGGGGTTTTTTATGCGTATAAGGTGACAAAAGACACTTTCATGGATTGGTAACTTAAATCTTTATTCCCAAGGTTCTCTTATATGAGCAAGAGCAAAAATCAATTTCCTCACTACAATTACAGACATCAAGAAAGAGAATGAGCAGCTTCAAGTTTTGGTTTTTTTAACGACACCATTGCAAATAGCTTTGTCTCTTAGTGCTGCTTTTGAGTGATTCTTTCCTGTGATACAGACACTTAAGCCACCGTGAAATGTACTGGGCCTACCATCGCCGTTGGATTTGGCAGTCTGCTTACAGTATGGACATTTGGATTCAATCTGGTAATCTCAACAGGAAGGTGTCGCATATCCCTTTCACTAACCCAGTTTTTCTATCAAGCCTTCTACAGACACCAGCTCACTGTGATCTCCTTTGGGAAAGAAAGGGATCATGCAGCACATGAGAGCATCTCAGGTCTGCAAACTCACACCTCTTAATAAAGATGGACAGTTTTGGTGTCTAATTTGGGGTGGTTTTTTGTGTGTGTGGTTATTTTGGGGTTGGATTTCTTTTGTGGTTTGGGGTTTTTTGGTTTATTTACTTTTTTAAGATGAAAAGAAACTTGAAGTGGAATGATTACTGAAAATGTCTGGAAAAACAAAATAATACTACTTATGCCTAGGACTGATAAAATTACACTTTAAATTAATGACCAGTTTATTCAACACCTTCCTCTTTTGGACAAGCAGCCCTGCTTCTTTCCCTCAAAATAATTACAGGCAATTTCTGATCTATTTCAGAGACCAAAATTGTCCCAACACATAATTGGTGGATGTGGGAGCAAGAACAGAGAGGTGTCTAGTGGGCAATGGAGTGAGGCTATCAAGGGTTCTCAACAATAGAAATGGCTGGCGATTCAAAAAAATCCTCAGTTCTTCCAATGGCTGAACTTCAACAGCAATCAACAGCAGAAATCCTGCCCTGCTGTCTACTTCTTGAGATGGAAGATTTCAGACACCTGTTTTAATTTGGTCCCAGAAACATTTGTTGTGCCAAGCATTTAGGTAATGCACGCCTACCAGAGTGAGATACAAAAATATTTTGTATCTGAAATTGCTCATACACTCATTTTTTCCACACCAACACTAAGACTGGGCTGTAGCTTTCTGAAAAAAAGCTTAAAACCCAAGACCACAGCCAGCCCCAGAGAGCTTCTAGAGGAGCACTCACACTGATTTTAAGTAACACCTTACATCTGCTTGCTTCACCAGCACTGTCTCTTCCAGCCAGGTAAAATAACAGGAGCCTACTTCAAACAGCCAGAAATTTTTTAAAGGATGGAGGAGAGGAGGAGTTAGACTGACTCTCCAAAGGTGAATGTGATCAGATGAGGGTCATAACCTTATGGAGCTAAGTGAAGTGATTTGCAGGTACCTCATTATTTGTGGGTCAGTTACCCATGAAGAACCATGTCTGTTAATCCTATTGACTGGAAATTATTAACAGGAAGAAAAAAGCAGCTTCCGCAAATTTAATAAGTGCCACAATAAACCAAATGGAAAAGCACGCGATAGCTCTTCTGAAACCTATTACATGAATAGTTCAAGTAATTATAATGCAGTTATTCCAGAACCATGAGAAACTTAAGGGACCACAGACTTCATGGCTCACACATCAGACAAGCAAGCATGAAATCAGTGTTCAGCAGGTGTCAAAAGAAATGAACTCTGAAAACATTTTCAGCTTCATAAAAACTGACACTGTGTGCTATCTAACGCAAATGCAAGATCGAAGATGTTTCCTGCTTAGTTAATGAGACTACCCTTATATTTAAGCACTGCAGGCAGAAATACCTGCCATGAACTTCAAAACATTCTGTGTGAGAACTATTATTCTTTAAATGCAAAAGGCCAGCCAGCCAAGATCTACAGCATCACATCAAACACCCTTCCATGCATCACTGAATATATATTTCCCCTCCTAACATACCAGACTTGTTACTTCCCAGGAGCAGTAAGTGGGTACACAGCTACTTGCACGCTCAGGCTCCCTTACCTGCTCCTTTTTCACTGGTGTGCTGTGTGCTGCCACAGCTGAGAACTGCTCGAGTGCGTTTTGAGGTTCTTCACTTGGCTGCTGTTGCTGCTGCTGCTGCTGCTGCTGGTCCTGCGGCTGGGTCTCTGCTGCCCCTTGCTGCGCAGGGCTCTCCTGCTGATCCTGCTCTTTATCCTTGGACTCGGAGTCCGATCCTGATTCTGTAGTCATGGTTGGTTATTCTGCAAAACAAGGTGAACAGACCCACTGAGTACACTCTCATAGCCGTGAATTTGTAAGCTAGGCTTACAAAATGAAGAAAGATTGGGCACAAAGTGTCAGTCTTAATATGCTTAGAATTTAAAGTGGCTATCACACTGATCCAACTGGCATCCCTAGGAAAGCTTCCCTGGTGTAAAAGACCTGGTCTAAATGCATCCATACTCTAAGGAAGAGTGTTTTCCCATAAAATCTTATTTTACACTGTAATACACTGACATTATAGGACTTCTGTTCCAATTAAATACAGAATACATAGTTCATAATTCATAGAGGGAGAGCAACATGATGAGAAGAACTTATGTGATTGAGGGCCCTAAATCCAACAAAATCCACTGCAGTTCTAAAGCATTTGGAAACTTTTGAAAAATTAAATCTTTTGTCCTTTACATTGAAATCAATATGGCTTGAGCTCCTCAACATCTGCACTCCCTTTGGGAAATGTACTCAAGTGCTTTTGATGCTTCCAGGCAACATATTATCTGTTGGACTCCATGACCTTAGAGGTCTTTTCCAACCTAAAGGATTCTGTGATTCTGCATGTGCTAGAATGTGCCAATTCTCCAACTACATTCAAGCAAAACCGAACGTTAAAAAAATACTGTGATTTTGTATCAAAACAATGATTTGAAAAAGCAGGCTCTGCACCAGTTCAGTAAAGGGAGTGTGCTTTTACGTTTGTTACTCATATGCTCTCAGACCTCATGAACTTTGCTTGAGCATTTTGCTTTTAAGAAACAAACCAGTCTGCTGCAATCTATTTCTGTTCATCATCAGGACATGATTCCTTTAACCTGGTAACCATAGCTACTGTGTAATTATAGGTGGTTGCACAGAATATACATCTGCTAACTCATCTGCTAGGAATTCACTATCAACTCCCAGAATACACTACAATGTTTACTAGTAGAAGTAGGTTTATTATAGATCACAAGAAAAATAAACTATTTTTTTTAAAATGTTTAATAAGCTAAATTGTTTGACAGAAAATGTTTTAAATTAGGCCAATTACTATTTCCAAACTCACTTACGTATTCTGCACTTTCAAGGCTAAGCTCTCTAGTGAACACATGTCCCTGTAGAGCAAAGCAAGTAACAGCATTCAGCCTGTGCTCAGCTTTTGCCCTGCGTATGGGGATAGGAGTGCATGTTCCTACCCCATTCAAGCCAAAATAACACAAGAGAGAAGCAGAACTAGAAAGCATACATGGCAGATTTATGCTTCAGGCCACATTTTTGAAGTACTAACGTGTGACACACTTGTTTAGGAACACATCATAAATTTCTGCACTCAAACTGGCACAACTGTATAAAAAAAGCCCTTTTAAAACGCATTATTTAACCAATTGTCTTTAGCATCTACAAAAAGCAATAATTAGCTTGGGTCTTAAAATGTGACAGTCAGAAATGTGTTCACCTAATTGAACTTCAGCTGTCCATATCTGAGATGGTCACTTTAAATGTGGAGGAGAAAAACAGACGCTTCAGAGAGCGATTCATCTGACCTATTTTAGATTCCTGCTTTAAGCTGAGATAAATCACATATTAGCGCAACTTCGTCCAACTCACTACAAAGGAAGCCTAAACAAGTTCCTCCAATGTAGATCACACAAACCCACCCCCTACGTTCGATTCTCCTAAGCCACTCTTTTTTGTACGCTTTAAACATTAAATTCCAGAACAACATTATTCTCTCAGAGTTTTGGTTTACCCATCTGTCAATTCAACATGGAATAAACTATTTTTCATCTGATGCTGTTACAGTTGCCTTGAAAAGCACGCAGGCCTCCATGAATGTCCCAAGTTTCCCCCAACACCATGTTTTGCACAAGCGTATGAAAATATGAAATGCAAATTAACCAAGTAATTATTTCAGTAAACTCAAACTACATATTTCATTTTCTTTTCCAGAAACTATGCATTAGGAAGTAGGCAAAACCTAACTTACAGCTACAAAAATCATTGATCAAACAATACTAAAGAGGACCTATGACCAATACAACGTGTAATGCATGAAAGTTGTAGTATCAACTCTTTATTTTCCCCCCTCTTGGTATGAATTAGAACGGTGTAAATAAAAAGTAGCTATCATGCTTGCTGTTTAGAAAGAGGTATTAAGGAGGTATATATATAAGGATATATATAAGAAGTACAGGATCGGACTGCCAGCCAATACAAATCAAAAGTCTGTCTTCCTTCAGCTGCCATCATGGCGTCACTTGAAGCTCATTTTTGCACCCTGTGTAGCTTCTTTCCTAATGACCATTTGTATCCTAGCTGTTTGTAAGCATGGAAACACAGACATTTAAATCAGCCCCATAAACCACAACTTCATGTAGCATGAGATAAAAACAAGTTTTACTTTTCCTGTCAGTTATAATTTTGAATCTCAGGGAAAAACAAATGTGGTTCTTATATTCTTCTGGGACATTCCCACATGAAACACAGCCTTACAATACTGAGTTACTCTCTAGGATTGGTTTTCTCTCCAGTTCCATGAGTCCTCGCTGGTTTAAGAGTGCTTTGTTAGAAAACTTTGTGTGCATTATCAAGTCTTTTAGCATAAGAGATTCCCTGGATACAGTATTACTGTCATTAGTCAGACAGCAGATGGGTTTAATTAACCTAAGGTTACCCATTTCCAAATGTCTTTATTTCCCCATGCATACATGTTTAGTAACAAATACTGAGAACAAAATACTATTCATTTCATGCTGTTATGTTACAGGTGTAAATAGAAGCAAAGCAAACACACTGTGAATCCAATCTCTTACAAACCGCTCAGATGACTGTATTATTAAGATTTATCTCATTCCACCTAGTGCAGGTTGAAAATACCTAAATTGCAAGACAAAAAACAACATTCCTCTCTCAATGCAAACCAATAGCTTGTTTTGCCTTCCTCGGCAAACAGCTGCTTATCCACATGAACTTTGACAGCATTTCATTTGTTATAAGTAGCAAAACAGTCCTTCTAGTAAGAGGTAATTTCACTCACTAGAAGAAATAACAGTAATCTTAAGAAATTCACCAACATAAATATTACTCTACCTTTGTATGCAGCAAACCTGACAGAATAGCTAGTAGGGCCCAAACATTTATCAAACATGTAGCTGGCTGAGAATTTCTTATTCCTATTTGATTAGTTTATTTACTGTACCAGAACCACGAGTTCTACTGTGAGAACGAAATCACTGAAGTTCCTTAAAAACCTTTTCTGTTGCCAGCACAGCCTTCATATCAAATTCCCCTTTCCAGCACACAGAAAACAAAATAATGAAAAGAAACTGGGAGCACTACCTTACACAAATGAGGTAATACTATGCAAGCCAGATGTGGTCTTGGATAGCTAAGTTTTGGCTTACAGTCCAGTGTTCAAAGATTCAAAAAAGATTAGCTGAGTCCAAACTCAACGCAGATGATGCTAATATTGGATAGTCTGAGGCTAGGGTAAATTTGGCTACAGAATTCAATCAGAATGAAAATCAAGTCTTTTGATTAAAAGTGGGGGAGAGGGGGAATGGCTCAAAATTAGCTTATTTAATCTACTACTAAAAAATTAAGTTAAAAATGTATGTACTTCCAGTAAAGTTTTAAAATATAAGTGTTTGAGTGCTGCAGATGAACAGATAAGAGAGTATAAATATTAATATACTGTCAAGGTATTAAAACAACTTCAAAAAAACCCATGACATTTAAAAATAATTTTATTAGGTTAAATTACAGAAAATAAATATTTTCTTACCCTTACACTATGCAAATTCATTACATAAGATTACGAAACTTGTAAACCACTTGCACAAAAAACCCTACATCCTAAAACCTTATGGCACACCTAGACCTGGTTACCTTCAGCCACCAACCTATTACTGCTCAGAAGATTACCATTTCCATTACCAATTACTTGCTATGGACTTTAAGCTCATAATTTCCTCTTCTCCACAAGGGAACCAAAACCATGTTGTCTTCGGTGTCACCTGGTCCCCTCCCGTAAGTGACGGTCCCAATCGACTGTATACATTCATCCATTCAAAAACTTATTTGACACCCTACCTCCCGTTCTCAAAGCACAGACCTTCTGGGTTGCATCCACAGAGCAACAAAATTCACAGATAATTGACAGCAGATTCCACAGTTTAATTAACCTAGCAGTCACTAATAAACTTTTATTTATATATAAATACGTGCTAGTGAAAATACATGCTATATTAAGAAAACAGAAATCACATTAGAAAAGAAATTGCGAATTAATTCTGAATAAATTGTGATGTAATGAGAAAACAAAATTGAACCAAGTATAATTAAATGAACTATACATAGTCACTAACTATTTCCTGTAATGCACAGATTAATGATTTACATTTAAAAGCTTCTTTGATCTAATTAATTCTCTTTGTGGAAAGTTCTCCTTTAATTACAGTAATTTTTGAAGATTGTTATAAATCTTTGCAAAGGTCCAAATTTGGAAGTTATGTAACAAAATAATGATTCCATACTTCAAAAATAATGTTCTGCATAATGAGAGACATATTTATCCAACAATAATGAGATGCTGATGAGAAGAGCATATGGAGAACAATATTGCTTCAATGAGCAGTAACAGAAATGCCAATATATGTTTCAAGAAAAGAATACACACCAGAACTCCACCTTCTAAGCTTGAAATATAAACTGTTTTCATCAAACTGCCTGAAGCCTCAGCTCACTTCATTCCAGTTGTGTTCCTTTTTAGGAAAAGAACCATTTTCTGTTGATCCATTTTAAGTTGGGTGAGTTTTGCCCTCACGTGCAGGAGGCACCCAAGCCACAAATATCTGGTGCAGGGGCCCCAGGAGTTAACACCAGCTCTTTCTTGACCAATCACCATCCTTCAGTGCCAGCCAGGCCTTACAGAGGAGGCATCTCCCTGGCACTACAGTTACTCCAGTGGACACCAACAAGCCAAAGCGACTGCAAAGATGTG